AGAGTGTAAAAATTGCTTTCTTTCTCTCTTCCTTCTTTCTGTCTCTCTCTCTCTCTCCATTTTTCTGAACATTTCTGTTCCTTTTATTTTACTTTGGGCATTTTATTTTTTCGTTTTTTTTTTGTGCTTGTTCAGGTCAATAAAGTGTAGCTGGTTCAGAAGAAGGGAAAAAAATTGCTATTAGAACGTTTTCCATTGATTTCATCTCCGTGATCAGCTGCGGCTCTGTTACGTACGTCCGTCTTTGTCCTTGTCCTTCTGTGCTAAAACCTCAGATCACACTGTATCCTGAAATCATTTTAAACACTTCAAAAGTGCCCAGTCGGCGTCTGCCTTCCTGTGGAGCCGCTTCAATAACTGACTGCAAAGCAGGGCTCCAGTGGATGCTGTTGCATCACTGCAGCGAGTGCTGCTGGTTGAAAACTAATCAGGAGAAAAGTCAGACATTTTGATCTGAAACACAGGAACTCTGTGTTCGTGCTGTTCGCCTGATGGCTGCTGAGATTTCACAGCAGAGGAAATTTACCTGGTGTGATGCTTCAAAATGTGGAGCACAGTTCCCTGGTTCTGTTAACAAAGAGCAACATGGTGAGCTGCTGTCATCTTTCTTCAGTTTGAACATCTTTTGACTGAAAATGAGGCAGAACATTTCTGGTTTAATCTTGTCCTGCTGCACTCACCACGTCGTGAATTAGGACGCTTTTATCCACGGAGCTGTTGGAGGAAGCAGAGAATCCACATGAAGCTTCATGAATCTCCACTGTATGTACATGAACATTTAGGTTAGCAGTAACATGAAGTACTTGATGTAAAAGATGTCATTTGTTTCAGTTGTTTTCTTAGGATGAAAAATGGAGAAAAGAAGAGGTCGGATTTGGGGAAGGAGCCTCACCCTGAGACGATCATCTCTCCATCAGAGGAGAAAGTACAGGACAGGACTGGAGCTGAATGGCTGGTGAGTGTGTGACGCATCTTCATGGTGCAGTCTGAACACACACACACACACAGACAAAGACAAAAAGGTCAGAGTAACTATTATATTTCCTAACCCGTCAGCCTCCTCCTCCAGTTATTTGCCCACAAAACCCTTAATTCAGACTCAGACACACTTTCAACTCCATCACTGTGGAGTCACGCTCCAAAAACTCTCTTTTTTCTTTTACTTCCCTCAAAGAAATGCCACCTGCTGACAGACCAGAGAGTTCCTGTATCAATAATCCTGAAGTACTTCTACTGTATGTGGTAGAACTACAGTACTTTGGTCTCAAGTAATAGAATTAGAAAAGAATAATTACAATTATTACATTAACAGCTACCAAAAAAAACCCTCGACATAATTAGATCTAAGAAATTGTAAGCTAGCATTTAGGTTTGCCATTCAATTACCATCCATATTATCTTTGTAGCTAAATACCTGTTATTTCTGGGCCACCTCAGCTACAGCTAATCGTTGTTTACCTTTGTTTTACTCTAGGCCACTAGCCTGGTGTGGTGTATATCCTCCATACTATTTTTTAACCTTGTAACTAATGTAACCGTGGCAACGTCTTCAAAAAGTGGATGTTAAAAAAATGATTTGGTCCACAGCTACAAAAACTATGAGCAAATACAAAATGTTCTGCCATCCTTCATATATCACAGTAAATATAGTGAATTTAACTACACACACACACACACAGAGGTACGTGTAGAGTGAGTTCTTCGCTGCCTCTGTGTTTCTGAAAAATGTCTTAAAGCGATGCATTATTAATGAGTCCGTCTGCAGCTGATTTATTCTACACACTAATAAAATTCTTCTATTCTGCAGAGGGACTTCAAGGTTACAGCAGTCAGGTGGCGCTCTTTGTCTCTGCCTCTCTCTCGTCAGCTCTCAGTTGAAGAAGCAGAGGACGGCGGCCTACCTGCTCCTTCACGCTGGACAACGATCCATATTTTCAGCCGGCTGTCCTGTCCACAGGAGGCCAGTCGAAACTCCACGCAGCGGCCATCTGATATGAAGAAAAACAGACTTCAATAACTACACACAGAAACGCCAGGAAGGAAATGTACAGAGGGTAAGTCCAACAGTTCCATCACTGATGATATCTGTTCAGACGGTCTGTGATCTTATTCACTGAAACATGTAAGGACACGTCTCTGACTGGTTTCATCATTAAATCTCAAGCGTTCGGCTGTTTAAATAGAAATCTTTTTTTTCCAGGCCTTACATGATGTTTTGATTTAGTTACAGTACGTTTGAAATGTTCTTTTCCTCCAACTGAAAGATCATCTGAAAGGAACTCAATTTCAGTCTTTAGATGTGGAAAAGAAGCAGATTGAGATTTGGAGAGAAAGACGGCTCCTAGAATTCTAAACTCTCTGATGAAAACACTGTGTGCAGAGGTGAACTGTGGATATGTTGAGAAAATCCATGTTATTTTTCATTCATTCACTTGTTGACATGAGCGTGTACGAGGCCTGATGGCTGGATATAGGACAGATCTGTGTGACATTAAATAAAATAATTTATTTAGTGCAGATTTCATCTGAACTGTAGGTTTAAATTAGCCTCAAACAGCTGGGTGGATTTTTTTTTGTCAGAATCTTGAACAACTGAATATGAATTAACGGAACGATATTAAAAATGTAGACAGAAAATAGCAATAATTAAAATAGTTGTCAAAAAGATGTAATAAATACCAGAGAAAAAGCTTTAATACCAAACTAACCTTTACCCTGGTCTCCAGGAATCTTGTCAGTGAACCTCAGTGTTCTAGCAACACTTCACCTACACTAGTGTTCTGACATCTTTTATTCCTGCTACTCCTCTGCTCACATTTATAATTTAACACGCATGTTTTTTTTCTTTTAATCTTGTTTTTCAGCCCAGGAAACACTACTCCTGACTATAAACTACTCCAGAACCTAAAACTTTACCTTCTATTTTTCCAGGTTGTTAGTTTCTTGTACAGTAATAGGTAGAAATGGGTTTCAACCAAGCAGACAAGTCAAGAGTTCAATCCGTTCCAATTACCTTTCTAATCTACATACTAATGTGTCCCTGGGTAAGACACTTCATTCTCAACTGCCCCGAGCAGCTGTGCTAACGCCAACATGTGAATAGTGATGACAGATGTCTGACTGAAAATATCCTGCATTTAGATGAGCTAACCACTGAAGGCGAGAGTGGGCAAACTATGGCTCAAGGGCCAGATACAGCCCGTTAGGCTTTCTGATCTGGACGTCAAACACTGGGACAAAGTTGTCCATTTTATGACTGATTTCAGTTAGTCTTTTTCCTATATGCATTTTCAGTTCATGCCGCTAGGTGGCAACAAACCCAACATAAGCACCAGGAACACTGTTTGAATGAAGTTGTCTTTGAATTTTAGATTCCATCCTGTACAGTTTCTTTGTATTAGTTTAAATACATACTGTATCTCAATCCATCTGATACTGACGCCGCCCTGTTGGTCAGATTTAAACCTGTAGCTCTGAAGTGTTCGTCCGACTCACCAACTGTGAACTGGTTTGCGAAGCTGCAACAAGTCACCCCCAGGTCATGGGCGTCCTTCTCATTGTGTAGGAGCCCAATGTCCACGTCCCACAGTTTAAGGTCTCCGCGGCTGCAGCCAGTCACGAAAAACTGGCCACATGGAGAAAAGCAGCAGGCGGCGACACTGGCTTCACTCACTGCACTGCATCTGGGAGGAAAAACAGGAATATTTTACTATAGACAATCATCATGAACACATGACTATAAAGTCAAGACCTGAGGGAACGGTTCAAAAAAAAGCTGCAGATGCTGCAAACAGATCATAAATTAAATTTTTTTTAGAACTCGATCAAAAGATATAATTTTTTTTTTTTTAAAGAAACAACATTTTACAGCCTTGTTTTTGTAGTTCTGCTCTCTCATGGTCATTAATCTTCCTCTCAACAACAGGAATGTAAGAATTTTTTATTTCTGCTTTGAAATAGACCTTGAAAAACATTATTTGTTCGTTAAATAAATATTTAAACAACCCTTTTCAATAGATTTTCATCCATAAAGACTGAACATCAAAATAAGGTTTTCAAGATTAAAACTTTTTTTTGTTAGTTGCGTTATTTCGTTTCTTACATTTTTTGTGTCATAAATAATTCGACGCCCATAAATAATTTACAACCAAAGTTGAAAGTAAAACCTAACAACTGTTGTGGGATGTCTCCATCTGCCGATGAAGGTCGAACATGTGGTCGAAACTCAATAAAATCCCTGCAAGATGAGCGTGATATGACGATAAAGTCCAGAATTAAAAAAAAAAACTGCGTTAGAACCTGATTCAGACATCACTGATCCTCCGAGGCTGGAGCTTCGAGTTGATGTAAACACTGAGGTGTCATTTTGAAGTTGTTGTTATTTGACAGCTATACGTTCTAGTTGTAAAAAATAATAATCATACATTGTAGGTCATGTTTATTTTCTTGCCTACAGGTGGTGCTTTTGTCACCTTTTTTTTACTCAAAACTTCTTTTTATAAGAAGCAAGAAATGTAGTTCAGTCATAATAATGTAATTTATCACAATGAACAATGCCACCTACGAAAAAAGAACCTCTATTTTCATGGATTTAATTTGATTCTCGGAATATTATGATTTATTCCCATTAACTTTTTTCTTTTTCTCTACATTTGTTCTTTTTGTCGTAATATTATAATGTTATATTAATAAACTTACGAATTCTTCCCATTAATTTTCCCCCCGTAATTCTCTCGAGGTGAATGTTAAACACGAAATGCAAAAATAAGATAGAACACAGGGTTTTTAAAATGACTACTGGGATTCATTCGCTGTGATTTTCTTAGTGATTTATACAAGTTTCTATAATCATAACCGTTCACCACTATGACCTCTCACCCTGCAATCATGTACCTGCGTAGTGTCTTGCAGGAGAAGTCCCAGAGAGCAGCGGTTCCATCACAGGCTCCAGCCAGGAGCAGCGAAGAGTTTGGGGCCAGAGCGCACACGCGCAGCGGACTACGGTCCGGGTGTTGGAGCACCGCTGCTTGTTCACCTGTGTCCATTCCCCACGCGATGATGGTGCCGTCCGTGGAACAGCTAAGCAAGAAGCGGCCGCACGAGCTGAAGCAGCAGCAGTGGACGCCGTATCCGTGACCCGAGAGCGGGGAGAAGGGAAGCTCCGAGAAGTTAGCTGTGCTGTAGACACGAAGTGTTTTATCGATGGAGCAGGTGGCGAGCAGGGCCGGAGAGAAGGCAACGCCGCTCAGCTCATCGGTGTGGTGCTGGAGAGTTCGAAGTAGTGACACCATGGTGGCTGTTAATGGTTTTTTAACCACTAAAAGTAGCTCTTCTCAGAGTTGAGAGCAGATGACGCAGTATCACCAGGTGATATGCACAGGTGTCTGTTAATGCAGTGGTACTTCCTGTTGTTCACAGTTACCACTTCCTGTATTGCTGATGTTATCAGTCATGTGTTCACTCAAAGTCCACGCTCATTACACAGGTGGATGTTTGGACTAAAACGTCATTTATGTAATGATTTTTGCATTTGAATTGATTTTTTAATCAATCTTTTCATCGTTGACTCTAGTGAAGTCAGTGAAGGGATAATTACCAAATGTGACATGAGAGAAAGATAATTTAACCAATTGACCAACAGATGGCGTCATGGAACAAGAACTGCTGTAAAAAACAAGCAACTAAAGTTTTTACATTTTACTACGAGTTTGAAGGTTGCATTAAGGCTGAATTCAAATTGATATCTATGTTGAGATACGTCCTGAACATCTGTGCTACACATGGATATTGAGGGAAATCAAATGTAATATATCAGTAACTATAGATGTAAAAAAAAGTTGAGTTGTTGAGTTAAAGTTGAGTTATCTAGGGTAAAAAAGGAGCTGACACTTCAAGTGCTTGTGTGTTCTTGTACCTGAGACAGATAATGAGATGTTGCTCAAAGGTTGATGAAGATGGAAGGATGAAGACCACATGCTGCGTTTCATGAAGCAGTGATGTCAGACTTACTCCACCTGCAGTCTCCTAGGTGTGAGGTTAAAGTGTTTCAGATGGACAAAGTTGAACAAACTAAAAATCTAACTATGAACATTTATTTAAGTTCTCACATTTTTTGTTGTTTATTTACTCTGTGTATTTCCAGGGACGGTGCTGTTGTTCTGTGACATCAGGCTGCTGCATCTCAGTGAAGTGGACGGAGATGGATTCGACTGGACTTCAATATGAATCTGGATTCTATGACACTGACGGAGACATGAGATGGAATGAGGTGGGGAGGTTATCCCTGGAGGGAGCAGATGTAAAAGGTGAGTGAACAGCAAGATTTCCTTCCAACTTTACAAATACAATCCCAAAGTAATAAATGTGAACTCTGCAGTAAAGTTTACTCACTCACAATTCTGTTTGTCCGTGATTACAAAAAAAGATGTGCATCTGGTTAGTTTTTATAGAAGACATTTATTTTACCAATGCCTCATCCAAGGCTAAAAATACCAACGAAGGCTGCTCCTCATTTCAATAAAACCCAGTTACTTCTAGTCTTCTGACGTCAGCTGTGTGGAGACATCTCCGGTGGACCGTGACTCTTGTCCAACTCCCAGCTGGATTAGAGCCCAATGCAGGCTTCACGTCTGTCCACACAATGTCTGACAGGTTCCTCCTCGGAGAATAAACACTCGGTACCACGTACAGAACATTAAGTTCAGAGAAAAGGTCAGAACATTTGCATTTTTTTTGTTTTGTTTTGTTTTAAGGAATATTGTGCAGAACACACGAAAAGCACAAATATTAAAAGGAATATTGTACAGAACACACGAAAAGCACAAATATTAACAGTGAGACGCTGCAACACCCAACAGTGATATCCAATGGTAATTAGCACCAGCCCTCCACAAGTGACTTTTTTTAGTTACATGAGCAGTTCTGTCCATCTTTTTTCGAAGAATCTCCTCATGTTGTGTCCAGCTCGTCCGATTTCCGAATCATCTTCATTGAATTTTTGACAATTGTCAAAAACGAGGTTCACGTCCACAAAGAATGTCTCCAAAGATGAATACCTGTAATTACAAGGAATCGATTCAGCTGCAAAAATAACACAAAACAACCTTAAATATAAAGCCAAACAGCAGTGACATACTGGTTGTTCTGGAGTCTTTCTCTGATGGTGGAGAAATCCATGGGCTTTTTAATGACCTTCTTGTATCCAGGCACAGCTTTGTGGTTCACTGGAGTAAGAAAAGGCCAAGAATCTGGATGAGCCTCAAGGTCGGCCAGGAGCAAACTGGAGAAAAAGGAAGAATAACAGCATAAATCCAGGAAGATTTCTTTCATGACGTCTATTGTGAGACGGTGTATGAAGGAGTGTGTAAATGTTTCGTTCTCTTTGTGGTATGTGTTTGTTCATACCGACCTACACATCGACAGTTCATCTGCGTTGTCCTCGCACATTTTGGCTTTTTTTGCCAAGGAGGCCGAGCTGTCAGCCCCATCCTCCGGGCTGTGTTGGCACCTGGCTCCCTTTCTCTTCCTAAAGTCTTTGCTACTTTTTCTCCAAACACAGTTGCTGCTGGAAGCTTCCTCTTTGATGAGCTCCGCGAACACAGATGGTTTATCATTTTGTTTCACCTCACTGCGTTTCTTTTCTCCTGCAGCTGTTTTGTTCTTTTGCCTTCTATTCCAGGGGGACTGAACACTTTCCTGGAAGAAAAAAAAAAAAAAAAAAAAAAAAACACTTCAATGACTTTGAGCCACGTGCAATGCATTATGTACAGGTTCATTTATTGGAAGTGCAGTTATGATAAATGAAGCTGTTTAAGTTTATTCAATTTGATAAACCATGAGATAAACAAAGTATCCTGAGATACCATATACAGAATTTATACCTGATTTGATTTAGACCGATTCAAAAACTGCCACCCTCTCCATCTTATATGAATCTACTTCAGAAAGTACTGTGATCCTGTAATCATGCAATCATAAGTGTAATAAATATGTAATCCTAAAAAAAAAGAAACACACCTTTGAAACACAGGTAGAACAAAGCCAGTCACCCTCAGGTACTGGGCTGATGCTGGGTTTAAGGCAGTATGTGTGGCAGCCTCTCTCACAGCTGTCACAGAGTAACAGCAGTTCCTCATTATCTGCCTTCTGACAGAGGTGGCAGTGCTGGAATCACAGAGCAACACTGGGTTAACGTTGCATCACAATAATAATAATAATTACAATAAATCAATATACCTAATACTGTATACCGACTATTACTACCTAAAATAAATTACTGTATAACTATATAATCTATATAGTACTAGCTGTGAGGTTAATTTTATATCATATAATCTATATAATTATAAGTACTAGCTGTGAGGTTAATTTTATATTTATGCTGTCTGTCACTGAAAACTAAAGATTATAAGTCATCCAGTTTGTCACAGCAAAAATGTAATCATGTGATCTTTATCTTTATAAATAAGATCACATTAGAGTAAACTTGAGTTCTTTGACCAGTAATGTGTATTTTGTTTGATTATTTGCACCAAAATGATTTGAACAATTTTCATTAAGTTCTTTCTCAAAGTATTGTCCCTAATGAAATACAGGATGAAAACCATTCTTTGCCACAGTAGAGAGCAGGGCAGAAGTAATGATGCATCACTAACCACTTTCATGACAGACTGATCCCAGGTCACGGACTTCTGCAGCTGCTGAACACAGAGTGACAGCTGAGAGGAGCTGCGGACTTGACCGAGGGCTTTATGCCACAACCTCATTCCAGGAGCCGGCTCCTCCTTCCTGTTTTCAGGTAAACGCAGTAACATTACACTGTAGCAACTACACAACATGAATTAAATAATACAATTATTTTTGATTGATGATTTTTTTTCTTTCAGTTACCTTTTTTTAATGTTATTCTCCAGCTCTGCCAGTCTGGTGACGGCAATATCAAGAGGATTGTTAGGCCGACGCACTATAGAGCCAGGAATGTCCACGGGGTTCGACCGTCGACTTTCCTTTTGAGAAGCTGAGGATGAAATCAGCCTGTGCTCATGATAGACCAGATCCTTTCTGTCCGACTCTGGCTCAGAGGGCATCCATCCCTGGAGAACAACACAGTAAATATCAGGTAACTTTAAAGATCATTTCTGACTTTGACTATAATTTTTTAAAATAGTTTACAGTCAATTTTTACCATAATAATAATAAATAACTAGAACTTTTTTATTTTTTAAAATAGTTTACAATTTTTACCATTAAAAAAAAACCTTATCAATAATAACCTAATCATAATAAATACTTTTGTATTTTGCATACTTTAACTAGAAATTAATAATAATAAATAACTAGAACTTTTTTTTAACTGTTATTATATCATATATTTGACCAGGTTTTTTTTTTCAATCTGCCTTTAGCTCCTCTAGTAAATTCAGTTATATTTTAAAGGTACATTTTGGATTATGTTTGTTTTTCTTTTGTATACCAGTATTTATTGTCTTCAAATTTAGAACGCCTGAACTTTTTGAAAACCTGGGGACTTTTTTTTTTTTTTTCATAAAAGTTGTAAACTGATTTACAAGCTGTCTCTTTGTCTGTTTTACCTTGACCTGAACGTCGGCAGAGACAACTTTTCTCTCCAGAGCTTCGATCTGCTGCAGCAGGGTGACGTCCACCTCCATGGCTTTCTCTTCAACACTCCAAGTCTTGAGTATCTTCTCACTCACATCCTGCTTCTCCAGCTCTGCTATATTAATTACTGCTGTGCAAACAAAGAAAGAGAACTGTCTACTAGACGCTTCATAACACATTGAATATATATACTGTATATATATTTTTTAATGTATCATGAGCAAAGAAAAAAAAGATGAGGACCCACCGCCATCTTTTCTGCTGCTGTCATAGATCTGAGTCACAAACTCCATATGTTTTTGGATTTGTCTGTGCAGGACTTTCTCCCTGATGCCACGGCTGTGCAGAGCCTCGACCAGACAGTGCACTTGGTTAATGTCCGACACTCGCCACCAACCATGCAGCATCTCTGTAAACAATACCCACAGAATAACAAAAAATATAAAATGAACCGCGTGTTCATTTGACCCCAAACTGTCTCTTCTGTGGAACACACAGAACCAGTCTCACCCTCAGGGATGGACTGACATCTGGTGTAGTCCTGGGTCTTGGCTGCTTCCACAGTGGGGGGTGATACAACAGGTGTCATGTCACTGGAGGCCTCTGGGTTCTCACTCTTGTTGATCGTGTTATTATTTACTTGGGGGTCGACACTGTGCCCATTGCCCTTTGCATGCTGGGAGGCCAGCTCTACCATAGTTGGTAGACAAGTTCCAGAAGGGGGCAGCGTGGTACTCACTGCCACACTGGACATGCTGAGCAGAGTCAGACTGTTCTCATGTCTGCCAGATTCTACTTGCTGAGGAAATAAAACACACAGAGAAGCATGAAGTGTCATATGAAGTAACACTTGCATCATCAGTGTGACCTGTGATGACAAACCTGAAGGACGGGGGACTCTCCGTTATTGTTTGTAGATGGACTTTTGTGGCTGGCTCTGGAGGGGGAGTTGAGGAAGATGGAGGAGGAGGGGATGGTTTTAGTGTTTGTTGTCTGAGGAGAGGAGGTGAAGCCACGGGTGACCAACGATTCATCACAAGGAGACCGAGGGAGGAGGCTAAACCACTGGCAGCGTTTTTCTGTCAGTATCTTGTTAAAGCGATCAGCCTGAGGGACAGACGGGGGGCCGAAGGTCACTTGAGGACTGCTTTTCAGCTTTGTGGCAAAAAGTGTAAGTGGCACTGAAGCATCTATTTCAACTGAGTATCCGTGCTGAGCAGATGCAGGCAGGGGACTGTGGGATGTTCCTGTCTGAGAGCTGGGACAGCAGAGATAAGATGCAGCGGTGGGGGACATTACAGGAGGACGGTTGTGAAAATTGATGTTTGAGCCTCCAGCCAGTTTGGCCACTTCAAGGAGTTTGCTTAGCTTGGAAAGAGAGCCAGGTTTCTGGAGGAAGAGATTGAGTCCGTCTTTGTCCTGATGGCACTCTGCTGTGGCTTCATACCACTCTGTGCCCGGAGCAGGTCTGGACTCTGCTGCAGTCTTTGTTTCATAAGGTTGCTCTTCCTTTACTCTGACCACATGATCGGTGTCCTTTTCCAGCTCGTCATTACCTACATGACATTAAATAGTCAGATAAAAGGTTTGGTAAACACGGCGTGTAAAGCAAAAACAACAAAACAAAACAAAAAACACTAAAACAAGCCGGCGTGCAAAGCAAAAACAACAAAACAAAAAACACTAAAACAAGCCTTAACCTCCGCTGCTTTCCACGGCCTCAACAAAGATGCCTCCACACTGGGGAAGGAGCCAGTAACACCTCTTGTAGCGATCCTGTCCAAGCATCATGGAGTGGAATGAGCAGGACAATTCAAACAGCTTCTGTCTGATCTGACGTTGTTGCTTAAGAAAACAAAACAAACAAACATTATTATGATCTCTTCGAATGTACAATACAATAATGTCTCTGTGAGGCAAAATGCTCAAACGCCGATACAGAAAAAATTGGTACATTTTCTCAAATTGCAACACCCTCTCTGGTGGTAATGAACCAGAGACAGGTTTGATTATTGAGCTTGAAGAGAAGAGCAGGCTTTCAAAAATTTCCAAGAACATTTTTAGTAGGACAATACCAGACATCAGTACAAATGACAAAAGTGAGGCCTCGTACTGACTGACTGTGTGTTTTTGACCTGCTGCAATTCAGACCTGTTATATCTGATGTGTCAAAAGAAGAAAAATCAGACTGTTCAGGAGCTTCAGCTCTCAAAAAATAAAAAGTTGAGTTTAAAGAAAAGAGGATGTGAGACTTGGCTTTCATCTGGTCTATCTTTTAAGGCTGTGTGTAGATTTCAATGTCATTACATATCATTATTTTTACCTTTACTGGATTTTCAGATGTAATCTCTGATTAATGTCAGAAACTCTAAATGTTGACGTTCAGACACTGCCTTTACCTTACAGGTTTTCTCAATCTGTTTCTCCAGCTCTTCTATGTCGACTGAATGTTCACCGTCGTCCTGGAGAAAAACAGTTCAGTCATGACCTCAGGGACTGGTCAACAGACACAAAGGTAAAACTAAACCAGAAACCTTGCTCTTACCTCAACTTCACATATTTTCACTTTCTTTCTGCCTGAACCTTCGTCCTCTTCATCCTCATTTTCTCCTTGATCCTCGCTGTCGTCATCTTCATCCTCTTCTTCCTCATTGTCTGCTTCTTTCAGCTTGCTCTTGCTTTTGGCATTTAGAGTGACACCGTTGTTTCCATTCTCCTCTCCCACACTGCTGTCTCTCTCAGCCATCCTCTTGGTGTGAATGCTCCTCAGTCTTTGAGGGAAAGGAATGGACAGAAAGAATCCACAGGTCACGCTGTGAAGGTGTGAACCAAACCATCTGATCAAAACTAGATTTGATCACATGGACTTTTATACTCACTTGCGTATCTTTCCTTCAACAGCCCACTTGTCTTTCCTCAGGATGTTCATGTGGTCTATGCTTTTCTCAATCTCACTGTTGTCAGTATCAGAGAAAAAAAAGTAAACTTTATTTAGTAACATAAGTAACATTAATTCAAAATCACAAGGTTTTATGGTTCATCAGACCGTGACTTGTCACATTCCTTTTGATAGTGTTTTAATGTGAATTTGTCAGATTATAGTTATGATCAAATATAGGAAATAAAAAGCACTCCTCAATTTCACAAAGCCCTTGTAAAGACCACCTTTATGGGGCAGTTTGGTTTGACAAACGCTTCAATTGTCAGAGAACGTATTACAGAAGATAACGTCAGAGAAGAGAAGCCAGGCCCCTCACCTGATCACAGCTTTACTGCAGCACAGCTCGTTCACCAGGAACGCCAGGATGGATGCTTTCTGAGACGGACTGTGAGCCTGGAAGGCCTTAGTCCTGAGGCTGAGCGCCAGAGCGGACAGTTGTGTCCGCCCACAGTGAGCCTCCATGAATATCTGCAGGATCTCAGACACATTGTCTCGGTTGATGTCCACATTAGTCAAGTGTTCCCCCAAAATGGTTTTGTTCTACAAGAGAGAATGTCAGTCAGGATGTAAGTCTACACTTACACTTTCTTTAAACACTTAAAGCAGGTGAAGTTACAGCAAATAATTATACATAGCTATAGATGAGCAGATGTGCAGATATAAACAATACTTCAAGTGTATATTTTTCTGTTTACAACTTTTTTACAACATTTAGATTTTTACAAAAGTTTATTTTTGCTGGAATAAAAATCATATTTTTAAAGCTTCAGAACAACAGACTCACCTTGTGACCCGCAGGAATTCCAGGACTGGACACAGCTATGGACAACATTCTCACAAGCAGGTCCTGGACTTTGTTTTTATAGTCTTTGATGTTAAGCAAACCGTCCTGAATGTCACTTAATTTGAGATTGTTTAAATTCTCCTCTAATCCTAGAACTTTTCCAAAATTGTGCAGAAACTGCAGGACCATCAAGCAGTCAGAGAAGGTGCTTCCAGATAAGACCAGGCCATGGACACGGGACAGTTCTGGAAGACACTGGACAGAAACACGAGTTACAGAAACGGTGTTGTTTCAATTTGATATAAAATCTTGTTTTTTTTTCAAGTCTTTTTTTTTTATATTTTAAAAGTTCGCATTGATGCAGTTCATTCGACTGAGTTGCTTGCTAGGATTACAGTATCCACTTGGTGGCAGTATTGTAACTCTTACCTTTTTAGTCAATCAGATGTTTTCAGTAATATACAGAGTACACAGTGTAGCGAAAAAAACTAGCAGAATCAGGCTTTCAAAAATTTCCAAGAACATTTTTAGTAGGACAATACCAGACATCAGTACAAATGACAAAAGTGAGGCCTCGTACTGACTGACTGTGTGTTTTTGACCTGCTGCAATTCAGACCTGTTATATCTGATGTGTCAAAAGAAGAAAAATCAGACTGTTCAGGAGCTTCAGCTCTCAAAAAATAAAAAGTTGAGTTTAAAGAAAAGAGGATGTGAGACATGGCTTTCATCTGGTCTATCTTTTAAGGCTGTGTGTAGATTTCAATGTCATTACATATCATTATTTTTACCTTTACTGGATTTTCAGATGTAATCTCTGATTAATGTCAGAAACTCTAAATGTTGACGTTCAGACACTGCCTTTACCTTACAGGTTTTCTCAATCTGTTTCTCCAGCTCTTCTATGTCGACTGAATGTTCACCGTCGTCCTGGAGAAAAACAGTTCAGTCATGACCTCAGGGACTGGTCAACAGACACAAAGGTAAAACTAAACCAGAAACCTTGCTCTTACCTCAACTTCACATATTTTCACTTTCTTTCTGCCTGAACCTTCGTCCTCTTCATCCTCATTTTCTCCTTGATCCTCGCTGTCGTCATCTTCATCCTCTTCTTCCTCATTGTCTGCTTCTTTCAGCTTGCTCTTGCTTTTGGCATTTAGAGTGACACCGTTGTTTCCATTCTCCTCTCCCACACTGCTGTCTCTCTCAGCCATCCTCTTGGTGTGAATGCTCCTCAGTCTTTGAGGGAAAGGAATGGACAGAAAGAATCCACAGGTCACGCTGTGAAGGTGTGAACCAAACCATCTGATCAAAACTAGATTTGATCACATGGACTTTTATACTCACTTGCGTATCTTTCCTTCAACAGCCCACTTGTCTTTCCTCAGGATGTTCATGTGGTCTATGCTTTTCTCAATCTCACTGTTGTCAGTATCAGAGAAAAAAAAGTAAACTTTATTTAGTAACATAAGTAACATTAATTCAAAATCACAAGGTTTTATGGTTCATCAGACCGTGACTTGTCACATTCCTTTTGATAGTGTTTTAATGTGAATTTGTCAGATTATAGTTATGATCAAATATAGGAAATAAAAAGCACTCCTCAATTTCACAAAGCCCTTGTAAAGACCACCTTTATGGGGCAGTTTGGTTTGACAAACGCTTCAATTGTCAGAGAACGTATTACAGAAGATAACGTCAGAGAAGAGAAGCCAGGCCCCTCACCTGATCACAGCTTTACTGCAGCACAGCTCGTTCACCAGGAACGCCAGGATGGATGCTTTCTGAGACGGACTGTGAGCCTGGAAGGCCTTAGTCCTGAGGCTGAGCGCCAGAGCGGACAGTTGTGTCCGCCCACAGTGAGCCTCCATGAATATCTGCAGGATCTCAGACACATTGTCTCGGTTGATGTCCACATTAGTCAAGTGTTCCCCCAAAATGGTTTTGTTCTACAAGAGAGAATGTCAGTCAGGCTTTAAAGACTTAATTACACTTTCTTTAAACACTTAAAGCAGCACTTACACTTTCTTTAAACACTTAAAGCAGGTGAAGTTACAGCAAATAATTATACATAGCTATAGATGAGCAGATGTGCAGATATAAACAATACTTCAAGTGTATATTTTTCTGTTTACAACTTTTTTACAACATTTAGATTTTTACAAAAGTTTATTTTTGCTGGAATAAAAATCATATTTTTAAAGCTTCAGAACAACAGACTCACCTTGTGACCCACAGGAATTCCAGGACTGGACACAGCTATGGACAACATTCTCACAAGCAGGTCCTGGACTTTGTTTTTATAGTCTTTGATGTTAAGCAAACCGTCCTGAATGTCACTTAATTTGAGATTGTTTAAATTCTCCTCTAATCCTAGAACTTTTCCAAAATTGTGCAGAAACTGCAGGACCATCAAGCAGTCAGAGAAGGTGCTTCCAGATAAGACCAGGCCATGGACACGGGACAGTTCTGGAAGACACTGGACAGAAACACGAGTTACAGAAACGGTGTTGTTTCAATTTGATATAAAATCTTGTTTGTTCTTTTTTTCAAGTCTTTTTTTTTATATTTTAAAAGTTCGCATTTTTTTCAAGTCTTTTTTTTTTATATTTTAAAAGTTCGCATTGATGCAGTTCATTCGACTGAGTTGCTTGCTAGGATTACAGTATCCACTTGGTGGCAGTATTGTAACTCTTACCTTTTTAGTCAATCAGATGTTTTCAGTAATATACAGAGTACACAGTGTAGCGAAAAAAACTAGCAGAATATTTGTCATCACGCAGTAACATTGCTGTTTGTTAATTTTTTTAACAATCCATAGTAACACTGGACGTGTGCGGACTTTATTTGCGAACAGTTGTTAAAATACCTTATGATCTGATAAACACATGTCTTCATTTGGCTTCCTTAGCTCCTTTGCTTTTTCCAGCTCCAGTCTTTTGAGCTCTTGTTTTCTCTCCTTATGAAAACGTTTCTCGTCCTTCTTCTCTTTTCTTAAACGCTCTTTCTCCTATGATGAAGGAAAAGATAGGTGACATTTACAATGCAGCTGGGTACTGGGTTCATGGGTGGGACATGAAGTCGCATCTCTTTACCTCTGCCTTTTTCCTGCTCTCCACAGCCTTCATCAGCATCATGTGCTGCCTTCGTCTTTCTTTTTCCTGGCCGTGCAGAGACACAATAAGTTCTTTTACAATACTAAAGAAACTTGTCACAGATTATAACACAATGTCGACGTCAAATATGTTAAAAGCACATGACGGAGGAGCAGTAGCATGACAATGAAAATGTCACACTGTCCACTGAGGTTTGAAAACAATCACAAAAGATTTAAAAAACAAAACAAAACATAATTATGGTACGATGAGTGAGGACAGTGATGACAAGAGAGATATCCACAAATCAATGTTACAAAGATTCGTTAGTCAACTTCAGCAGCAAGCAGCAGATTCTAAAGGCTAGCCTCACAGTTTTAGCTGTAGTATTTAAACATTTCAGAGACGGACCTTAAATAATGACCTCTTTAATTGCTATTTTTTATTATTACATTTAGAAACATAACTCACATATCTCAACCATGACAAAACTTTCAGTTTAATACAAAACATGTCAGCAGCATCTTCCTTGTTCTGCTGATTCAAGCTTTTTTTTTAAGCTAACTGTTGAAATAATGGCTTCCTTTCCTCTGAGACAGCCATAATGCAGACGTACCAGTATGCACAGCACTGTTCTGGAAAAGCCATGCTGAAATGTTGTATTAAAGCAACCAAAACAACTTCATGAACTGCTGTGACTGCAGCCATTTATCACCAAAATATATGAGGTTAAGAAGTGCAGAAACAAGCAGCCGTACCATATCTAGTCTAAGCCTCTTCAACTCCTGGTAAAAACAGTGGAAAGATATGAAGAAATAGAAAAAATATGTGCAATTATATCACTTTATTTAAGCGTTTTAAAACTTTTAGCTCCTTGGAGTCGTGGACATCAACCTGGTGTGGTGTTGGTGAAATACTCACCTGGTGCTTCAGTATGACAGCATGTAGTTGTTGCATTTCCTTTTCCTTAAAGAAACATTTTATTTAAAAACTAAACAACGTACAGTAAAAACAGACAAAGACAAGCTCATCAATCACATCTCTTCACCTTGTTGCGTTTCTCGGCCTCCAGAATTCTGGCATTAGCTGCTGCTTCTTTCTTCCTTCTTTTAGCCTTTAAATGCATCCAAGAGTCAAAGGCAATGGGAAAGACAAAAGAAATATAATCTTTAAGAAACCTTTCTACATTTTATTTTTGTATTTATTTGTAGTGCTGTTTATATTTTAATTTATACTTTAATTTATTTGTGGAGCTGTTTATATCGGACAAAAAGCTAAATGATGACAAAATCAGTGTTTAATGTTTTCAGTTAATAGGAAACACCAGCAGGGTGTAAATTTCCCCCCTCTGCTTTTGTTAAAATACTTTATTTTAGATGAAGTTGTTCCTCATGAGTAGATTTGAATATTCCATGTCACGTTCGCAGCCATTTGTGTTTTAGTCACATGAATGGATGTGAGTGAGTTCATCGTTAGAAAAAACAGCCTTTGGTTGGATTAGAAAAAAAACCCATCAACAGCAAAAAGGAAGTGTTTTATATGATTTCTTCCAGTAATATTATGTACTGTTCATTTCAGAACCAACCTCCAGAATTTGCTGTGCACGGAATTCCTTCTCCAAACGAATTTGCTGAATGCGCTTGATCTTCTCCTGGGAAAAAAAGGATGAGGGTGAGTTTAAATGAATTACCTGTTAAGTCATGCATGTTATAGAGAGAGGGAGTGGGGGGGGGGGGGGGGGGGGGGGTGGGGGGGGGGGGGGGGGGTGTTAGGTGGTACAGATTCTCTGTTGGGATAGAGAAAGGTGCTGAGTTTTTAAGAATGGTGACTTTTATTCAAAGCCTTTAGCTTGAAACTTTTAATATGTGAAGATGCAAGAAAAAAAATGCTAATAGATGGTTAGCTCCAGAACAAAGGGATGGATTCTCCTTACTTGCTGTTTGAGAATCTTCATCTGTTCTCTTTTTATCCTCTTCTCCTCCGCAGCTTTTATTGCTGGACGAACAAATCCAAATGTAATATTTTTATTATCTTTAGTAGCAGTAGCAGTAGTAGTAGTAGTAGTAGTAGGAGTATTAGATTCAGTAGTACATATGATACTGTATGATACCTTGTTGCCTTTTTGCTTCCTTGGCTGCCAGTGCCATGGCTTGTCTCTCGTGTTTTCTCATCAGTTTCATCTGAGTGGCCTGGTGAACTATTTCTGCAGCATTAAAACACAAATTAATCACAAATATAAATAAATGACAAAAACTGTCTCTCAAAAACACTCTCACACCCTGAATTGCTTCAAATTCAAAGAAAAAACAACAGAATACACTTAACTTCATAAAAAGGAAAACCTAAATTCAGATCATGAACTCATTATTTCTACTTTAGCCAGGTCACATAACATGATGACAGATATCTACTGTAGGTAACTTCTGACCACATATATCGAGCTAGATTTTTAGCATGTGATGCTATAACGTTTCTTAGACAAACCTTCAGCCTCCAGTTTGCGTAGCAGCGTGGCTTCGCTGAAATCTTGGGTGTTAGTGATATTTATAGGAGGTGTTTTCCATCGTTTTCTCCCAGAAGCATCAACTGTTGACTGTAGCAAGGACTTGAAGCAACGGCTCTGTCCGCCAGCGGTCTCCTTTGCAGCCAATAGATTCTGCTGTAAACTCTGGCAGTGACATGACAGATAAAGAAATTAAACCAAATGAGCTACACTGTGATTAATAAGTATAAAGATTCAACAGCCATAACATTATAAAACAAACAGCTTCCTGGGATAATAACGTATTAACAACACACTTACGGTATATTAGATTATTAAAGCATTCTAAAATGTTCTTAACTGACTGAAAAATTTTGTTTTTATTCTTCAGGGAACAGAACAGTTGAAGCCTGGACGCTGTAATTGGTAAGAGACAACTATTTCATTTTATATACTCCAACAAATGTCTGCCATGGACATTTAACAACAACACAACAGTCACCATTTGGTATTAAAATCTAACAATTCAGTCTGTGAACATTTACCTCCACTTCTTCCCTGGAGTCGTAGAAGTCTCCGACTTTGATTTTCGTACTGAAGCTGAAGTTATCCCGAGAAATTTCTTTTATTCCATTTCTGTATAAGTACTACAGACAGAAAAAAAAAAATATATATGTATATATATGTGTTATCTATGTTAGGCTGATGCGATGATCAGAGACTGAGTGATTGGTTCCCATCATGTTGTTCACATCTTCAAACGTAGCATGTTAATCAAACCAATGCTTGTCTCTATGAGCTAAATCACTTTTACATTTTAGTACAACTCATTCACCTTCATTACATCCGGATACTGACGCAGCTTCTTTCCACATGGTGCCAGATAAATAACGTCCCCTTGAAGACGACCTGCCACCATCCGAATGTGTGTCTCCCTTTTCCACCTGAGCAAATACCACAGTGTTGTCACAGCTGTATCTAGGCAAAGCATAAAAAATATAAACCCTGTTTTCCCTGTGCAGAGTTAGAAAGAACTGGGACTGGGCTTCTCTAATCAGCAGGCACATGTACCTGAATTGTTGAGCTATAATATAAAATATATGATTTGAATTAACCATTTTTGTGACCATGCATCAAGTGCCCTCTGTTTTCTGTAAACTGCTAAATATATTTTCTGTCAAAATGATGAGCAGCTGGTGTTTTATGTCAGTATTGAAACAGGATGTAAATGTTCCGTTTGTCCCTTTTTATTTACTCTAATGAATGCTCAGGATGGTTTCTTAAAATACACATTTTTGGTGATGTGTTTATATGTAACAGAAAACAAAAGTTTTCTTGACTTCAGGAAACAGCCTTGATTAGCTTTTATTTCTATTTTTGTTGTGTTCTGTTAAATTAACATCTACGGTTGTAAACATTCAAGTTAGAATATAGTAACAACAAATTTTAATGTTCACAGTTGCTGTAAGAACCATTTTACATGATATTTAAGTGATTTAATATTTGTTTCAGATGTAAAACACTAAATGTAGAGAAGCCTTGAAAAATGGCAATAAATAATATTTAGTAAATTCCACTAGTCAGACCTGAGTGTGTAGCGTTTCTCTTTCAGACCATTGGTCTACATCCAAACAATGAAGTGAATATGACAACAAAATAATAGCTGAGTTCAGCTGGGTTGAAAATATACTCCACTAATTCTTGGTTTCTTTCAAATGAACATACCCAAACTTAAGAGGCAATCGCAGGAGTCTCTCGTCAGTCACTCTTTTCCTCTTTCCTGATTCAAATAAACAGGAAATAACTTCAACACTACATGACCAAAGGAAGCAAATATGACACAGACAGCAGTAAATCTCACGTTGTTCTGCAACCCATTAAAAATTCTGATTTAGCCATTTTTAAAATAATGGTTTCTTTTGACTACTGCAGAACATAATGGTATTTAATATTAGCTTGATGTTAGCTTAAATTGGCTACAGCTGTCTCTGAGAACCATTAACTGATTTAAGCAGTAAATTATGCATTTTACCAAACTCGAACAAACTTATTCAAATAACTACAATAACATAACAATTCTATATCCAAAGCCAAACACTAAAACCTGTGAACCTCCAAAGTTAATGAAAGTGTTGAAGAAAAAAACTCTCACCTGTCAGTCCTTTAGGTTTGAGAGATGAGGCCGTAGAGCTGCTGTTACTCAAGGAACTTGAATGGGTAGGCAGGGTGAGGGTACGGAAACAGTCAGGCAAGTTTGGGGCCTTGATGACCGACAGGCTGGGCATGAAGCTAATGGAGGAGGAGAAGGAGGAACTGCGAATACACAATGGTGCTTTCGATACGTCCAAAGGAATCTTCTCAGCATCAGTCTCTGCTTCAGTCCTAACTTGCTTTTTCATTTCATCCTCAAAGTCACTCTCTAGATTGCTCCCTGACTCTGCAGAGAATTCAAAGATAACAGTTACAAATAGAAAGAACAGAAAACCCTTTCACTCAAATAAATAACTTGAACTAACATATTTCAAGATGTGATGAATTAAAAAGAATTTTTTTTTCAGAAACATTTTTTTTTGGAAAAATGCTTTAGAAAAAAAATTTTTGGAAAAATTTTAAGAAAAAAATTTTTTTGGAAAAATTTTAAGAAAAAGTGACGTCCAAGTGACGTCCAAGCGACCTCCAAGTGACCTCAAAGTGAAGTCTAAGGGAAGTCCAAGCAACCTCCAAGTGACTTCAAAGTGACGTCTAAGTGACCTCCAAGT